AAAAAGGCGAGGCGGTCCAGCTCCGCCGCCGACACCATGCCGCGCGGCTGGGGCGCCTTGCCCGGGGAGGGGGCCGCGGGCGCGGTGACCAGCGCTGCCAGCACGTCGGCGTGTCGCGCCACAAACCCCACAAACCCGCCCACCAGCGCCTCCTGGTGCTGCAGGTGCTGCTGCAGGTGCTGGCGCATGCTGGGCAGGTAGGACTTGTGGGAGTGGCCGCCTGCGGGCAGGGGTGGTCAGGGGCGTCGGGTCGGGGGAGCGGCAGGGAAGGGCCGTCGGCGGCGGGGGAGCGCGACGGCGAGGGTGGCGACAGGCGAGCCGCCACGCCCGATGCGGCGCGGCAGCCGCGCCTCCTGCCTGCTGCCGCCCCGCCGCTGCCGCCCGTCCCCCCCAAGGCACCCAGGCACCCGGCCAGCCAGCCAGCCAGCCAGCCAGCCGGCCAGCCATCCGCCCTGCTCACCCTGCTGCTCCCTGCCCCAGCTGTGCGAGGTCATGCGCATGGGGCTGCTGGGCTCCATCTGCCAGGAGAAGAGGTCTGGGGGCCAGACGTCCGAGGCATCCGCCTTGTGCGCCTCCCGCAGGTAGAAGTGGACGAAGAGGTACAGGGCCAGGCAGTACACCTCCACACCCACCACCTCGTCGCCGCCTGCGGGCGGGGCGCGGCGGCGTGAGGGCGCGGCGGCGTGGCGGCGTGGGGCGGCCCATGGGCCAGGCAGGGCAGGCAGGGCAGCCGTGGGGGCGACGGCAGGCAGCTGGCGGGCTGCGCCGCGGCAGCTGCCGACGTTTCGGCCCTCTGAGCGGGCCGGCCGCCGCCAGGCCGCTAGCGGGGCGGCGCCCTCACCGTCGCTGCGCTGCACCAGGTCTGCGGGCTCCACCACCGCCGCCAGCAGGTCCACCAGCACCTTGGTCTGCACCGTGTTGATGTCCAGCGCGGCGCTGATGGCCTGCGGGGTGACAAAGCCTGCGAGGGGGGAGGGCGCAGAGAGGGGAGCGGGACGTGAGGGCGGGAGGCGGCAGCGGCGGCAGGCACGCCCGGGGCGCAGCCCGACCCCTCCCGCCCTACCCACACTCACTCCTGCCGTGCTCATCGAAGGTGCTGACTTGCAGCAGCTCCAGGAGCAGCGCTCTGATGGCCTGCAGCGTTTCCACCTGGGCCAGCCATGGGCACACGGGGCAGCTGCCAAACTCCAGCACCTCCTGCCGGACCGTCAGCCCGGGCATGGCGCGCCACCGGGAGCGATCGTTGCGGTCACTGCTGCCGCTCCATGCCGTGCGCGCTCCGCTGCACTACTTGAGGAACGGCCAGACCCCAGCAATCGTTACGCAATTGCGGGCTGTCTGGGGCGAGTGTGAAGGGTGTCGGGAATGAGTCGGCCGGGGACCCCTGCCTTAATGCTACACGCCGCATTGTTGCATGTAACGTGCTCATAAGTAGCAGGCGACACCAGGACGGCACCCTGGGCAGGGCGGGAGGACGTGCGCTGAGTTGCCAAACATGTCGGGCACATGGCTCTGTGGGCACCCAACACCTACGCAGTGCAGGGCCTGGACACACATCCCGAGGATTCACAATGTCTCAGCAGGTTGACAAAGGCAGGGCCAACAAGCTGAATCGAATGTGGACGTTTGACAGGTTGCCGCAGCTGGGCGTGCCGCCGCCTGGGCGTGCCGCCGCCTGTCGATGCGAACAACGCGTGCGCCTTTCTCGGTATGGGTGTAGAGCCCTGCGACCATGCCTCTGGATTAGCTTTTGACTAGTTGCTGTGGGAATGGATGATCAGCGCTTGCTAAACGGCATGCTGAGTTGCGGCTTGAAAATCACCGTGCCTGTGCTGGTGAGTCGTTGAGGAAGGCTAACACACCAGCCAGCCCTGCTTTTGGGGCCTGTCACATCTACGCCTTGTTGTGTTGCTGTCTCCCCCACGGGTGTATGAATGCCCACATGCGCATGCGTCACAGACTGCTGCCGCCTGCTGGACGCCACCAGCTCATGCTCCTCATACCCCGCGCATTTCCTGCAACAACACCGGGTCCCTGTACGCACTCAAGTACCTTTTCAACGCTGCTGTTCTAAGCTGCGCTGCTGTCAAAATAATTGCCGCTCAGGCTGCTGCCGCCAGCGCCGAAGCCCTGCGTTGGGTCGAGCTCTGCTGCCGGGACTCTGGTCGCCACGCTAGCTAAGCTATCAGCCAACGGCTGCAATGCACTGAAGACGCACTGAAGATGTTGTCCTCTTGCCAACCGGGGGCCATCCTTTGGATTTCCGACGTGTTTGGGGACTGCATATATAAGTGAGTAAGCATCCGTAGAGCGCTGCCGACTTGGTGCAGCACCACCTTCGCCGCTCACCCGCGCGCGGCCGCTAGCCCCGCTGGCCACCTCAAGCCTCTGGCCTTGCCGCTGCCTCCCTGCAGTGTGCGTGACCTGGTGGGCTTCTCCTGCGGCATCACCAGCATCTGCTGCTGGATGGTGGCGCAAATACCGCAGGTGGGTGGATGGGCTGGGTTGCCTGCCGCCGAGTGTGCAGCCCGCTGCCTGCTCACCTGCTCCCCACCTGCGGACTCTCCTGTCCCCAGCTTCCACCCCACCGCCACACACATTGTGCAGTTGTACAAAAACTATAAGACCAAGCATGCCGAGGCGCTGAGCCCATGGTTCCTGGCATCGTGGCTGCTGGTGAGGGTGCTGGCGCCGCGGCGGGGGCTGCTGTGGGCAGCAGCAGCTGAGGTAGCATAGCACAGGAAGCATGTGGCGCCCTGCACACCTGCAAATCGCTCACCGCTCTGCTTCTCCCTTGCCCTTGTGCCATGCAGGGTGACACCTGCAACCTGCTAGGTGGGTGCCTTGCAGCACGCCGCTGGCTGGCCCCGGCCTCCCCCAGCCCTTCCACTTGGTGTGCCTTTCTGCAAGGCACCTGTTCTGCTCACCTGCCCTCCTGCCATGCACCCGCCCTGCCCCCCCCCGCAGGCGCCCTGCTCAAGGGGGACCAGCTGCCCACGGTTGTGTTCACTGCGCAGTACTTCATCACCGTGGACTGCGTCATGATGGTGCAGGTGGGGGCGGGGGGTGGGGCGTGGTGGATGGCGCTGGTGGTGGCTTTGGATGGGGGCTGGCTTTGACTGGTGGAGGGCACGATGGGCGCTGCTGGTGGCGTGACGTTGGGCCAGCAGCCTGCGGGATGGGAGCGCCTGCCACCTCAGCCTGCAATCCACCACTTGCCGCGTCCCTCCTCTGTCCACACACACACAAGCATACACACGTGTGCTCTTGCTCTGCCGCAGTACATTTATTACACCAGCCTGCAGCGGCGGCGGGAGCGCATGCAGGCGTCACGCCGGCATCGCCACCACCACCACCACCACCACCATCGCCGGCGGCACGACAGCACCGGCATGCAGCAGCACCAGAGCGGCAGCGGGGAGCAGCAACCGGGCGGCAGCGCCGAGCAGGCGTGGGCAGGCAGCGGCGGCGACAGGGAGGGGCGGGGCCCACACGCCGCCGCGGATGGCCGCGATGCGGCAGCGTCAGTGGCAGCGTCAGCAGCGGCAGCACACGAGTGCTGCGACTCGAGCGGCGAGATCAAGCCCGGCGGCGTGCTGCTGGGCGGCAGCAGCAGCCGCGCGGTGCCTGCGGCGGATGTGTCGTTCCGGCCGCAGCGTGTGCTGGCCTGCCTGGGCACGCTGCTGGTGGTGGCGCACCTGCAGCAGCCGCAGCCAGACGAGGCGGGGCAGCGGGGGCTTGGCGGGCGGCGGCTGCTGGCGGCCGGCGTCCTCGCGGCGGGCAGCGGCGGCACCGGGCTGCTGGCGCACATGCCGCTGTGGGCGTAGTGAGTGCTGGCCGGCTGCTGAGCTGGCGGTGTGCCCGCTGGCGGATGCCTGCGCATCGTGCAGCCACGCGTATGGGCTGCCTTGTTGCCGCCACTCAGTGCTGGCGCCGACCGGGTGCGGCGCGCCCGATGCGCCTCGCCTGAGGCCCCCCTGCCGCCGCCGCCCCCCGCCTGCAGCACCGCCGGCACCGTGCTTGGCTACTGCTCCAGCGTGTTCTACCTCACCAGCCGCGCCTCCCAGATCTATCGCAACTGGTGCGCTCTCTCACCCGCCCGCTGGCATGCCCGCCGCGGCTCCCGCCCCACCAAGGTTGCACACCACCCTGCCCGCTCCTCTCTTCTGCCTGACCACCACCCCCGCTGCAACGCCCGTGTGCGCCGCGCAGGCAGCGCCAGTCTGTGGAGGGGCTGGCCATCTCGATGTTCATGTGCGCCATCGCCGCCAACTCGCTGTACGGCGCATCCATCCTCATCCGCAGCGCCACCTGGCCAGAGCTGCGCTCCTCGCTGCCCTGGCTGATCGGCAGCCTGGGCACCGTGGCGCTGGACGTGACCATCTTTGCGCAGGCACGCCTGTTTGGGGCGGCCGCGGCGCAGAAGCAGCACCCCAGCGACGAGGACGAGCCGCTGATCGCGGCGCCCTAGCGCCCACACCTCACCGCGGCTGCTCGCCCCGCGCTGCGTGTGCGTGCGTCTGCTGGTTCCGGCCTGCTGCATCGCCCTGCACCCCTGGCAGCCCCCCTTCCCAATTCTTTGCTGTTGCTCCTTTCAGTTTGAACTACTCGCAACACATTCCCCAATTTTCATCGGCGCGTGCAACATTAAACACACGCCATTCAGGCCAGCAGCTGCTGCAGCGCAGCGCAGGGCTGGGCCAGCGCCTGGTGCCAGGGCTCGGCTTGCTGGCCGCCGCCGCCGCCGTGCGCGTCCAGCCCCGCCTGGATCGCCGCTGCCCATCCCTGGCACCGCCGCACCGCCACCTTGACCCGCTCCCCGCTGTGGACCAGAGACCACAGCGCGTGCGCCGCCGCGGCTGCCCGCCCAGGCTGCCGCGCCGCCGCCGCCACCGCATCCACCAGCTGCTGCAGCGCGCCGTGGCGGGAGGTCATGTGTGCCTGGCTGGCGGGGCACAGGGCCACCTGCCTCACCACCAGCATGGCCGCCTCGGCAGCCGCGCTGCTGCACTGCTGCTGCGCCGCCAGCCCCAGCACCGCCCCCAGCATGTCCTGGGAGGGCGCCGAGCACCGCAGCAAGGCTCGCTGCCCCTCCTCCTGGCTGCACAGGTCGGCCAGCACCTGCGTGGAGTGGCGCGGTGGGGGGAGGGGAGCTGGTGCGCATGCATGCATGCATGCCCGGCGCCTGCATGCCACACCCTGAGCAGCATGCAGCGCCCCCAGCAGCAGGCGGTACCTGCAGGATGGGGAGGAGGCGCTTCCAGTCCCCGGCTGCCGTGCAGTCTTGCAGGCGGCGCAGGGCACGGGGGAGGAAGGCGGCGCCGTCCCCCCGCCCCAACACCCGTGCGCCATCTGGTGTGGCGGCAAAGCAGCTCAGGGGCCCCGCCGCCGCCGCAATGGCATCCAAGGAGCCGCGGCTGTCAAGGACAATCGAGGCGAGGCGCTCCAGCAGTGGGGGCTCGCCTGCAAGCAGCACACAGCCCCATGAGGGAGGGCCAGCCGTACGTTATGGTGCCACACCAAAGGAGTGGCCCCTGGCAGCTGAGAGAGGGACTGGCAAGCATGCGTGAGACCTCCCCCAAGCTCTTGCCTGTGCTGGCGGCAACCTGCCTTGCTGCCTGAGAGTGCGCCAGTACCACGGCAGCCAGCCTGGACAGGCTGTGCTGCACCGCGGCGCCCCCCCCGCCCCAGAGGCGCATGGCCACATCCAGCAGGCCAGCCGCCGCCATGCTGTCGCTGGCCACTTGGCTGCGCGCCGTCAGCTGGTGCAGCAGGTCCAGGCACAGGACCAGGCGGGCACGCTCCGCCGGCTGCTGCGCTGGGGTGCCGTCGTGAGGGGCAGCCTGCACCTCGGTCGGTGGCGACAATGCCGAGTCTGTGCCCTGCTGCACGTCCTGCGCAGGCGGGGGCGGGTCCCTCCTGCCCAGCATGCTGCTCGTGATGCGGCTCCCAAACGCCAGCTGCGCTGCCTGGGGCCGGCCTCCCCCGCCTCCGCCGGTGCCACGCCGCGCTTTCAGCTGCTGCAACTTGCTGGCGCGCCTGGCACCATCATGTGCCAGTTCTGCTGCTGCCGCCGCCGGCTGGTCTGGCGCAACAAGGCTCGCAGCGAGGCTGGCACAGCTGTCTACCAGCGATTTGTGGAGCCCCACACGCACCGCAACCTGCTTGGCTGCATGGCTGTGGCACAGAAGACCGCCCAGGGCGGCGTGCAGCTCCTGCTGCGACAGCCAGTTGGCTGCAGCTGCGCCTGCCAGGAACTGCTCAATGAGCTGAGTGCACAGGAGCGACCCCACTGCTGCACCGTCACCTGTGCTGCAGGGCGGCACCAGGCTGTGCTCATCGCTAGCAGATACCTCGAGGAAGGCCGCTGCGGATTCCTCGTGCTGCAGCACGACCGCCAGCAGCCGGCAGAGCCGCTTCTTGCCGTCCACACCGCACCACTCCTGGCCCATGACTGACGCCACCGCCGCTGCGAGTGGGAGCGGATGACATGAGCTTGCTGCTCTCAGCTCGGCTGAGCAGCTGTCTGTCTGCGCAAGCACGACCAGCGCGTCTGCGAGTGGTGGCACGGCTGCTTGGCGGCGCGGCGGAGATGACAGGGCCTGCTCTGGCAAGGCGGCTATGCTTGCTGCCAGGCTAAACGCCTCGGCCGCCGCAGGAAGCAAGCCTGGGAAGCCCACCACACCTGCCCAACGGCTTTCCGGGGCCAGCTGCGCCGTTGCCACCAGCAGGACCGCAGCTGCATGGGCCGCATCCATTGCCGCGAGCAGGCTGTTTGCTTCTGAGCATGGCAGGCCGGCCAGGGACTGGCCCACCAGTCCAGCTGCGCTTGGCAGGCGCAGCAGGCGCAGCAGCACCTTGCCATCCACCAACCGGCAGGCCGCTTCTGCGTCCACCAGCACATGCTGAAGCACGGCATGGCAGGCGGCGCAGAGGAGCTCTGGCTCACTTGATTCCTGCAGGTGGCGCAGGTAGGGGGGGTGAGAAAAGGCAGGCAGTCCAGTGCAGAGCCATCTCAGCTACATGCAGGCAAGCACACAAAAGGCTTACCTGCAGGATAGTGCAGACACCGTCCCATAGGTCCTGCCTCCCGAGCAGGTGCTCAGCTGCTGAAGCCAAGGGCTGTGGCGAGGGAAGGCTAAGCTCCTCCCGATCGGCTGTGTCTGCGTCGCAGCTGGCACCCCCCTGCCCTCCAGGCTGCTCCCCTCCTTCTTCTGCGCTGCCTGTCTGCTGCCCATCCTGAGCCTCCTCAGCTCTATGCGCGCTGTGCGACATCGCAGCAGCCACCACAGAAAGCGCAGCTGTCCTGGTGGATGCTGTAAGGGAAACATCCAGGGCTGCCTTGATAGCCACGGCCAAGCACTCCGGCCACGCCGACAGCACCATTGCATTGGTGGCAGGTGCTGCAATGGCTGCCGCCAGCAAGAGGAGCGCATCTCGCTGCACAAGGACTGAACAGCTGTCTGCGGCGGCCCGCGACAGGAAGTACGTGCTGCCCACATCTGCCCATGCCGCAGCCCAGTCTGGGGCGGGCAATGCCCGGGTGATGGCCAGCAGCACCGCCAGGGCCCCCGCCACTGCTGCCTTGCCGTGCAGGAGGTCCGTGGCCCACAGGTGGCGAGGCATGAGGATGTGCCGCATGACTGCTTGCAGCAGGGCGGCCACAGCATGGGAGCTGCCAGGGCAGCCGGCGCTGCCGCCGACCAGCACCACTGCGAGCTGCAGCGCGGCCACCTTGGCCGCATACCCGCCCTGCAGCACCAGCTGTGTCAGCAGCAGGATCCAGTCGTGCCCCCGCATGGCGTCCATGAGCTGGGCCCGCTGACCGCTGCCGGTGCACTGCAGGCTGCGCTCTGCAACGGTGCGCACCGTGTTCAAGACGGCAGGCAGCAGCGCTGCCTGCGTGTGTGGGCTGTCCAGTGCCGAGCCCTGCTGCTGCACCCAGGCATATGCACTGCCTGCCGCAAATGACAACAAAGTTTGGCTGGCTGCCCCAGCCTGCACCAGCTGCAGGAGCAGCGGCAGCATCTCCACCCACAGCTGGCAGTCCTCGGCAGACTGCGGTGACGTGGCCAGCAAGAAGCGCAGCGCGTCCAGCCAGTCTGCCGCCGCAAACGCAGTCAGGCCCTGCAGATGCATACAATGGCAACGTGTTTGGTGGGTCCGTGGCCTGTTCCGACCGCTTGTCCAGGAGGGCAGGAGGAGGCCGCCCACCTGAGGTACCGCCGCCAGCAGCAGCTTCAAGCGCCGCAGCGCGGCATGGCACTGGGCGTGGTCCTGCGACGCCTTGACCTGCTCCAGTGCCTCAGCTACCAGCTCCTCTGGCTGCAGGCACCTGAGGGTCGCCTGCGAGGCCCGCACCAGGTCTGCCTCCCACCTTGGAAGGCTGCAGGGGGAGGCCAGCAGCTGAAGCAGGCCGCTGCTGTCACTGCCGGCTGCCTCGCACAGCTGCCGTGCTCGCCACAAGCGCTCCACCTGCTTGCCGACAAAAACGCCGCTGGCCTGCCGCTGGTGGAGTGTGCTGGCCACTGACATCACCGCTGTTGGGTAGGCGAAGCAGTATGCGGTACAGAAGGGCTGAGGCACGCTGCACCCGCTGGAGGAGGAGGCGGGGCCGGAGCTTGGAGCCGCTCGTGCAGCGAGGCGATGCAGCTGCGCGGCTGCCTCGCCAAAAAGCAAGAGGTGCAGGAGCTGCGCAATGCCTTGGCGAAGCAAAGGCAGTGGGTGGAACACCAGCGGCAGCAGCGGGAGGATGCGATTGTCGGCATCTGCAAGCAACCACGCTGCACCACTGGCGGGCTGCTGCTGCTCCAGAAGAATCACCAGGCATGCCAGCGCTGGCTGCTGGACTTGGTGCATCGGCGAGGTGTCCAGAGCATGTTCCAGCAGCCCAGGCAGTACTGCAGAGGCAGCATGCGGTGCCTTTATGTGGCCTGGCATGCGGTACATGCCACACAGGCGCTGCCTGATCTGACACTCTTCGATACCACACGCTCAGTCATGCACTACCACACACCTGTCTCCGTGGCAAGGATAGCTGCAAAGCGCTCATCGCCAGCAACCTGGGACAGCTGTGTCAGGGCTGCCGCTGCCAAGCCGCGCGGCAGTGAGGGGTTGCCGATGACTGCCAGCAAGCTTTGCACATCTGCAGCCGTGAACAGCCTGGCGGCAATTGCAGCAGCGGCTTTGCTGGCGCCGGTGCAGTTCTGGTGTGCCTGTGCCGTGCTGCCTGCTGGCGCCAGCAGCCCATCAAAGGGCAGGGGGTTGAACAGCATGGCCGCAGAAGGTCGCTGCACGAGTGCTGTGTGCAGCTGAGCAGCAGCCTCTGCAGCGACAGCTGGGCTCCTATGGAACAGAGCCAGCACAATAGGGGCCATGTGCTGCCAGCCGGAGCGCTTCTGCGCACCCAGTACCTCTAGAACGCAGCTCACGGCAGGTCCTGCTGCGGGGCTGCCAGTGTGGCACAACAGCCACATCTCCCAGGGCAGCATGGCAGCGCCGCACAGTGCTGGTGCACCCACTGCTGCTGCCTGCAACAGCTCAGCCGCCAGCCTCTGCAGGGTCGGCTCACCGAGCGCCACTACCAAGCTGCCGGCAACAGCGTCATGATGCAGAAGCGCAGGGCTGGCAGGTTCCGCTACAAGCGCTTCCAACGCTGCCTGCCGCACAGTCAGGTCGCCAGCCAGCAGTAGCGCAGCTGCAACATCACCAGCAGCAGGCGCACCAGCATGCCTGCCGGCTGCGGCCATGCTCGTGGCGACTACATGACGGCGCTCCTGGGCTGACAGCAGCGCCAGTGATGCCACCTGCTGATGCACCTCGTAGCACCACGCGGCTGCCAGGGCTGAGGTGGGTGCGCTGGCAAGCCTCTGAACTACACCCAGAAAGCTCAGCTTCAGGCATTGCAGCTCGGCAGCGGCCTCAAGCTGGGCGGCCACCTCTGGGCGCAAACAAGGTAGCCAGCGCAGCGCAAAAGAGTGTACTTCTGGCACCGCCATGGCTGCTACTGGGTTGCTGGCCAGCCCTGCTAGGATGTCGCACAGCACCGGTGGAAGTATCTGCACACGACATGGCAGCGGGTCCATTGAGCGACTTTCGCTGCTTGGCAACCAGAGACAACCAAAAGAGCATTAACCGGACAGCTGCAACATCAAACCTGAGCAGTCACCAGCTCCGTCCAGCGCTCAAGCAGGCCCACCAAAAGATGCAGGATGCCACGGGTGCCAGGCCCCAGTGTCAGGGCGTGAAAGCCCACGTCCCAATGGTCTGGAGGCGCCACGCCTGCACTGGTGCACTCGGCCACCTGAACGGCAGGGTGGCGCCATGCTAGCCAAGGTGAGCGCTGTCTAGTGCATCGTCTGCAGGTAGGGGCGGGCATCGAACTCACCAGGCTGAGACGCAGGGCCTCGGTCAGTGCTGCCAAGAGTGGTATCAAGGCCGGCCTTGCGCCTGTGGTGCAGGTACCGGGTGGGGCATCAACCGGCGGGCCAATCAAGGGCACCAGGGCCAGGGCCGCTGGCAGCGCCGCGTGCTGCAGGGAAGCGTCACAAAGCATGGCTGCACAATGCCGCAAGGGCAGAATGGCCCACGCCGCCAGCGACATCCCTGCCTCGCCGTTGGCCGCCTCTTCTGCACTCAGGAGCCCGACTGCCATGGCCTGCACGATATGCAGTGCTGCGGCTGCCACATGTGGCCTGGCGCGGCTGCTGTCCAGCAGGTGTAGCAAGCCACCCATGATGGCTGCATGCCCGCCTACCGCCGCCGCAGGCATTGGGATGTTCACCACTGCCAACTGCTCATCTGCTTCCTCATAGCCTATTATAGCCTATTATAGCCTATTATAGCCAACAGTAGCCCACCCGTCCGCTCACAGAGAGCCATCGCGCCGGCCTCGCGCCGATCACCCCCACACCCCCACCCTCCACACTCACCCACCCACCCATCAGCATGTCAAGCAGCGAGGGAGCCAGCCTTGGGCAGCGCAGCCAGCAGCCGATCAGCAACCCGGCCTCCCGGGCATCCCTGCGGCCCGATTTCCCCCATATCGTGGTCAAGGGGCTCGCTCTGGAGGCCGGTGGGGGCCTGGGGGCCGCAGTCGCAGCCTTCGTTTTGTTTTGCCGGGCCAGCCTTCACCTGCCAGTGCCTGACTGTGTGCCTGTGACCTGCGTTGAGATTCGGGTGCGTGGGGACGGGCGCAGCGAATGCCACCTGCGACTGACTCCTGCCCTGTGCGGCGCCCTGATGGGTGCCCGCCGCCGCCTTTCGTGGGCAGCACCAGAGGTCAGCATTGACCTCTGGCGCTCACCTGGGGAGCTACAATACCTCCATGAGCTGCGCCAGCAGCGCGCGGAGGAGCCCCCAGCGCGCCAGGTGGGGC